TCTGCAAATAAGTGTCTTTCACTAACACAGTCAAAAAAACTCAGACAGAAACTGTTTTTGTCGCGTCTGGCTTAGCTCGCTCGCACTCTGAGGGAGACAGTTATTTCTGTATTCGTTTCCTCAAGTCAAACACTGATCGTTTGCTTGAGTTAAATGAAGCAAACTGTCAGTTGCGTTTGTATGGGTAATCACGCGCGATTGCTGCGTTCTTTTTGTATGTATGTATGCGTGTATTTACATGCACACGAAGGCAAAAACATTTTCTGCTGAGTTTTTTAGTCAAAGTGTTTTTTGCTGAGAGGCTTTGTGTGAGGGAAAATCGTGTTAGTTTTACGCGACACTCATGTGAGAGCGTCACACGAATGAGTGATCGCATTGCGTCTGTGCGAAACAGATGCTAAAGAAAACAGAGAGTGACGCTCAGAGATAGACGTGTCTGCACAATTTTTTTTGGTTATGATCAGTGTTGCCGAATCAGCTATTTTGTAGCTAGATCTGGCTACTTTTTAAGGCCGATTGCTACAAAAATTTTCAAACAGCTATTAGCTACAAATCTGGCTATTTTCAAATATTAAATTTAGCTAAAATGCAAGCGAACTTATAACAAAATTCGCTTCGATACTTTTTAAATGTAAATGATTTAAATGTACTGAGCTTTGTGTAGAATTATTACTACAACTGAAGAATAGGTAAGCTTTCTAATATGCTATGCAAAATTCATTTCTTATCAGTTTTTATACCCTGACCCATTGACGCCATCATTTTGTAAAAAACGCATTTCAAGTACTAGAGACTTGTGCTTTGGAATGTACACACATTTTAGCCATATGATCACGTTTTGAAAGTTTCATTAAGATTGTATGTCCACAAAACATATGGATTACGCCGATATGGCAAATGTTTCTATGAGTATAGCGTTCCACCCAACTACCTTAAAAAGGCAAATTATAAAAGCGACAAAGGTGAGAATGACGAGCTGGTGGTCATAGATGAGATATTATCAGAATTAAATTAATAAAGTTGACTTTTTATGAAAAAAAAACAGCACTGTTTTCTTTTTTGCTACTTTTTCAGCTATTTTAGAAGAAAGTTGGCTACTTCTAACTACTTTCAGCCTTCGGTTTTACTACTTTTGCTGAAAAAGTTTCGGCAACACTGGTTATGATGCGAGGAAGAGAATAAACGAAAAAACGCTCAACTCTCATTTGCAAGCTCTGAAAATAAGGGTTTTCCCATTGCAAAAAATGTTTGTTGTTTATTTCATTTTAAAAAATTAATAATATTTCAGTCCAACATAAAACTAGAACATATGCATTCGTATTCAATTCCATATTCCAATATATATTTAAAGTCTTAAAATTAATTAAATGCTTAAAATTCATTTTGTAACATTTTCTTAAAATAAAATAATAAAGGAACTTCTTTGTTCAGTTTCTCAGTTTCTCTTAAGATCATTTAATTATATTTACTAGCCTTCTTCGTCAGAGCAGCTTAAATTCAATTTGTTGAAATCTTTACATAACACTTGTTCACTGGGCTTAAAATTAATGCACCCATTTTCGCGCAATGATTATTGTACATGTAATATATGTGATATATTTACATTTTTAAAGCGGTTTCGATTTTTCGTTTTGATTAAATTAATTTGAGAGAATATGCGTTCACACGACGGATTAGAAACGGTCAAAATGATTAAATCTTTGTGTTTGTGTAGCCGCATGTTGCTTAAGTGACGCCAGCCTACTCAAAATGTTAGTCTGGCACGCTTTGCAGTGCGCATCCATATTATTAGCGCTCCTTCGCAGCCATTTTTCATTTTCCGGCATAGTCTCCCACTCAGCTCTATATTTTTGCTTATTGCTCATGTTTTCTATTTATTTGTTTTAAAATTAAGCAAGTCTTAAGCATTAAGCATTCGATTCATTAAGACTTAAAGAGTGACCAAACCGAAAATATCATATAATATCATAAAATCGAAGAAAAATGCTACTAAATACCTATATACCATTAAAATACTTTTGAGCAAAATCGGAGCTGATAAAATACCAAAAAGTATTTAAAATACCATATTCGGTCACCCTGGTTCTGTGGTTAGTGGTTAAACTCAAAAATGCTGGGTGGGGTGATTCCATTTAACATTACCTTCTGGGTGTTTTAACAGTATCAACTCCAGAAACGCCATCGCTCTGCTATTTTTGACAAAAGAAATACTGTCTTTCGCCACTGTTAAAAAACTCAATTCTACTTTCGTTTACACATAAATCGGGAGAGTTTCATATTATCGATTGCTCGATTGCTCGATTGTTTTGAGAAAATGAGCAGCAAATCAATATTTCCTATTAATTTGGATAGATTCACGGACAAGGAACGTCACAATTATATTCTTAATCATTATGTGCGGGCCTCTATTGCTGAAGGTGAATCGCGTAAGCATAAGCGGGATATTGACGTTATACGTGAGAATCATCGCTTTCTTTGGGACGAGGAGGATGCAGCCGACATTCGGACATTGAGCTGGGAGCAACGTTTGGCCTTACGCTACTATCGAAAGCTATTCAAGGAGTATTGCATAGCCGATCTCACGCGCTACAAAGAGAATAAAATCGCTTTACGCTGGCGAACCGAAGAAGAGGTGGTTACCGGCATAGGTCAATTCCAATGTGGCAGTCGACATTGTGGTGAACGCGAAGGTTTACGTAGTTGGGAGGTCAATTTTAAGTATATCGAAGGAGGTGCTCCACAAAATGCACTAGTCAAGGTAGGTAGACTCAATCTTAATTATCTAGATTTTTCAATACGCTGTGTCTTACATTTTCTTTATTTATTGATCTGCCTATTAATTTACATATTTTGCAGTTGCGCCTTTGTCCCGTGCATACGGAGCAACTCAACTATCGAACTAAGAAAAAAGAACATAAGCGCCAGAGGCGCAGAGCGAAAGAGGAACGTAATAACGACCGTAAACAAAAGAGACGCAAACTAAATCAAGATAGCGAGAAAGACCTCGTTGAAGGCGAAGAGTTAGAGGAAGAGCAACAGGCCACAAGCATTGTAAATGCAGCTGAGGACGAGCAGATTTGGAGTAAACAACTGGACCTAAGCAAGGAACAACCATCAAGAGAACAGGAATTCGAGCGTTATCTAGAGGATTTACTATTATAAAAGTTGACAACGGTTTTTAAAAATGGAAAACAATTATGGTTTTCGTTGAAAAAGTCTTTACATTTGGTTTTGTTGACTGAACTGTTGTAAATACAATAGCTTCCTTTTTATTTATATAGAGCTATAGCTCCTCTATGGCTATATCATCTACAGACTGCACTTTGCAGACATGTACATAAATATACATACATTTACATTTTACATTTATACAATACAGACATGTACAAAGAGTGTAAGAGGTCCTGCAGTTATTTAAAGTAGGTCCACGGACCTTTCACTGATCACCCATAGTATACATACATACATTTACATATATATTGTAAAACACCAACACCAAAAAAGTTGAACTGGACATTAAGGCTGTGACGTCTGTCGTTTTAGAAGCAATTGCGACAGAACTTTTTGAAAACAATTTGGGGACGACTCGTGATAAACTAAAAAACTAAATTTATAGCTCTTGTTAGTTTTGCGTTTGCTATTGAGCTTGCGCTAAGAGCTCGGCAAATGCCTGTGGCGGCTTAAAGCGTCGCACTTCGGTGAACACCATCTCCTTCCATTTCTCTACAGTATTTTCATCTTCCTCAAAACTTTGATCGTAGAGCGTTGATGTGGCTTCATCACTGGGATCATGCCATTTCTCCATATATGGGTGTTCAAGGGCCTGCTCGGCTGTAATGCGTTTCTCCGCGTCCAGTTCCAACATCTTTTCCAGCAATTCAATGGCCAGTGGATTGGCACCGCGGAAAACGTCGCGGAAGTTTCGACGCGGCATCACGGGCAACGATCGTATATAAGTGCGTGCGCTCTCCGACGAGATCTTGTTCATAAATTCATCATTCGGTGTGCCCAGCACCTCCATGATTAGATTCAACTGGTGTATGTGGTCGGTGCCTGGGAATAGGGTGCGTCCCGTTAAAAGTTCAGCCATGATACAGCCTACAGACCAAATGTCCACTGTCTGATTGTAGTGCATCCAATTAAGCATGATTTCAGGCGCCCGATACCAACGTGTTGCCACATATCCCGTCATCTCGCTCTCCGCTGGTCGAGCCAGCCCGAAATCTAAGATACGTAGCTCGCAGTCCTCATTTACAGCTAAATTGGAGGGCTTCAAATCACGATGAATAACGCCGGCGCTGTGAATATACTTTAATCCACGCAATATCTGATAGACTAGAAATTGCACATGCTCATCAGATAGCTTTTGCGTGCGTATTATATTATTTAGATCAGCGTCCATCAGATGCGTCACCATGTAGACCTGCTGAAATTGATCTAACGAATCAGCTGGCTGCCCTGGATGGAAGACATCCAGCAGGCCAATGACATTCTCGTGATCCATGTGCTTCAACAGACATAGTTCGCGGTATGTGCGCTTCGCATGCACTGCTGATTGAAAGGGACGGGCCAATTTCTTAATAGCCACCTTTGTTGAGGTACCTCGTACCACGGCCTTGCACACCTGTCCGTAGGCACCCTGCCCAACAGCCTGAAGATTTTGGTATGTTTCAGGAATTTCCCATTCGGTGCGATTAATCTCAATTTTATAAAACTTCGGCATTTTCAGGGACTTTATGGTTCTCGTCACAAAATTCTTCTTTTTATCTTGTTATCCAAAAAATTTCACGAATTAAAGAAGAAGCAGTATTCTGATAGTGATGTACAAAAACAACATAGCGACGACTAGTCGATAGTATTTTACTAATGATGTTCTTTTGCTATCGATATTAAACGAAAAGCCCTTTATAATCAGCTGTTATATTTAAGCTTTTAAAGTTTCAATTTGCCAAATTTGCGCCAAGCAGCATCAGCTGTGTGTGTTTCAACTTTCAAGCTTTTAGTTCCAATCGGGCGTTTGCGAGCGTAGGATGGTACGGACGGTCTATAGCAGTTTGAGTCTTAACATTTTTTGCACGAGTTTTTTCCTTACGTATTTATTCATTGACAAAAACTCAAGCTGCGCTCTGTATTTGTGTTTGTGAATATGTGCGTTTGTAAGGCCGCCTTTTGCGTGTATTGTGCTGGAGTGTGTGTCTGAGCAGCGTTGGCTCTGGATTACTTTGCAAAATATATTTCTCACAATTATGATAAATGTAATGTGTAAATAAATAAATAAAAAATTACAATTCAAAATTAGCATTGTTTTTAGTGTTCAACAGCTTCATAATAACAAAATAGCACAACTACATACAAAAATAGATCCTTTTTGAAAAAGATCAAGTAATATACCTTTCGATAAGATTGATCGACCATAGGGGGCGCTGCAACTGCAACCAATAGGGTGGAACAACAGTCAAGCTTAAGAACCGTTACGTGTAAGCAAAATGGCCACGACTGCGGCTGCCGTAGCAGCCACCAGTGTTGTTGTATTGGATCGTGGCAATAATACGACATGCACAATCAACTTGCATGGTAAGTGTGTTTGTATGTGTGTTTATAATTAATCATAATTTACCAAAACATAATGCAACAACAATTCGCATTTCGGAGCTCTTCAGAAAATCGTTGGCGTTATTTTTAGCGCATGATTAGCAATATTTTTTAAAAATGTATTTTTTTTTTTTTTTTTTTTTTATTAATCGCTTTATGGACTTTCATTTTATAGAGTTAGGCTGCGTCAACAATTTATGCAGCCCGTAGAGGTTATCAGAGCTTAAATACACAGCGAAAAAACGCTGGATTTTACTCAAAATTGAATTGAACTGGATTTATAGCTTTTGCTAGCCAGCTTTTTCCGGTTAAATGAAAAATAAGTACCTAAAAGCTAGCAAAGGTGTTCAACTCTATTATAAATCAGGAATTCTTTCACTGACCATCGCAATCGCAGTTGCTGTTACTGTATTTATTTTCGCCCAGTGTAAAATATGGTGGTAACCTAGTTAACCTTGCAAATAGCGTGTATTAAGTTTACTTTGCAGCCATTTCAAAATAGACAGTGTAACCCGCTCAAGTGGCTTTCCTACTATCTTATCAGTATTGTGAATGATCTATCTATGCTTTACTCGTTCTCTCTCTCTCCTCTCTCTCTCTCTCTCTCTCTCTCACTCTCTCTCTCTCTCTCTTTCTCTTTGTCTATGCTGAATGATCGTCATGTCTGTCACCTACTCGCAACACATTTCGATTAGGCGTTATATATATTTATATGTATACATAGGTACATATTTCTATGTACAGAGCACACTTTCAACAATTACGACTCGTTCGCTCTGCCCACGTTGCGTTTTGCGACGCGGTTTTTGAGTCGCAGCCAGACATACATATTCCATTCCACCACATAATGCGATCCAACTGGCAGCCAGGCTTTTTTTTCCAGTCAAATCAAACTTTAAACATTCATGCTAGAGTTTTGATTTCCGCTTGCTTAATATATTTGTTTTTTTTTTCTGCAACTTGAATTCTGCAGTTTTGAACGAAGCTTAGACGGAGGCAGGCTTACCGCTAAAAACAGGCCTCATCGTACATACAAACTCACATATATATATATATATATATATATATATATATATATACATCTACACCCACAAGCAGCCGTGTTGCACCCACCCAATAGTCGAATGGCTATTGGAGCTGGGAGTCTCTCTCTTGTTCCCTTTAGCTGGAAGGTATAGTGGGTTAGACGAGTCTTTTGTGTGTGTGTGAGAGTGTGTGTGCGTCATAGCTGCCAGCATTTTAATTCAGTTTGTAATTTACATATGAGTAATTATTTGTTCAATTCGTAAGAGTCAAAAGGATTCAGTTAATGCAAACGTTATACTAAAATAGTATGTGAACGGTACTAGTCTCTTAACAGTGGCAAAGGGATATTAGCAAATGAGTCAAGTTAACTGTGAAAAAATATTAAGTCTAAACTGTTAATGCAGAAACATATATACAAATGTCAATTTTGATGTTAACGTGCTATAAGCAGATGTTGTTGATACTAACTAATAAGTAAATACACTTAAATATTTAAAGCGTTTTGTACACTACTAAAATATTTAGAAATGATTATTAACATGGAAACACAGAAGAATTTTTTTTTAATTTTTGGTAGCACACATTTTTTTGACGAACAAGTGTATTAGAAGTCGTGAGTTTCCTACAACTACATATATGTACATAGCTATTAACACACGATTGTAGGTATTTATAATTACTTCTAATAAAATGTCAATAATTAATTTTGTAACTGATGGTTTTTATATATATTTATTAATAGGTGCGACTGTTGTGTCTTGGCGTGTTAATAATCAGGAGCAGTTGTTTGTTAGGTAAGCTTTTTTAACATTACGCATACGCCGTACTGGCTACTTTAAGCTCAAAGCGCACAGTCAACCGTTTGAAGTTGAAGCAACTTACGCAAGTCTACGGTAACTAACGGTGAGCAACCAAAAAAGTGTTGGGAAAAACTTTTCAACAGACGAATGCAAGCCAACACACACGAACACACAGGTATACGCACACGCTCACTTGGACGTAAGCTAGCCACAAAGGATGCCCTGCAGTAGGAACAGAGGCGTACGGTTGTTGGGCAGCCTTAGCCATTCTGTTTGGCGGCAAAATGTTTTCGCTAGATAGACGACAACAAAAACGAAACGAACCAAAAGAGACACACAAAAACTGACCAAAGAGAGGCAAGAGCGCCGCAGCATGAGAGAACGAGAGTAAGTGAGAGAGAGCAAAAGTTTGCCGAAGAGAGCGCGTGCTGCACATGCACAATTCGTAATCTGCGGCATGGGCAGCTTTGAGGGCCGTTTTCTTGCTGCGTACGCTATCCTGCTCTAACCAACGATAGCGACAAAAACAACAACAACAACAACGAGGAAAACAATGTGCTGGTTTTTATGAATGGAGTTTTTTGGCGCGACATCTAGATCGATAAATCCCGACTACGACTACATGATGTGCCATGTACACTGTACATCGGCTTGCACAGTGGCCCAAAACGTTGGATTGTGGCGTCGTGGTGGTCTAAAACATCTTGGCAGCAGCCACTGCTGAGGCTTGCCACTTTTTAAATACCTTGCACATATCAGGCCATAAAAGGGATTTTACTTTGAAGGAATATATGAATCGGAGCATTTACTCATAAATGCTTAATTAATTAATAATGAAATCAGTTTTAAAATCTCTACTTGTTGAAGTTTAGAAATATGAAATACATGGCCAAAACTATTTACAGGGTATAGTAACGTTGGGACTTATTTTTCTTGCGGCACGTAACATTTTCTTTGCTTAGCTTTTAAGTTTTTCTCAACATTTTCGTCTGTTTGTCCGAATGTTCGTTACACATTGCGTTAATTTTTTTTTTTTTTTTATCACTCTTTTGCTTTTTTGTTTTGTTCATTGGCATTTGGAAACCCAGCAACAGCGGCGAAGAACTAACAGAAAAACTGCTGCGAGTTGAGTTGAGGTTGAAGTTTTGTCCCACAAAAAACCAGGGACACTTTTTTTTTCGAGTGTGCAAGCCAAAAGGAGCTACGTGTGGTAACGGAAAGATACAGAGCGATATGGAGAATGAGAGAGAAAGAGAGAGAGAGAAGGAGAGAGAGCGAGCAGTGAGAGTAAGTGGGGGAATTTGAGGATTGGGTAAACTAAAACAGAAAATCAAAGCAGGCAACTCAGTAGCTAATGCTTAAAGAGCTGCCACAATAAATGCCACTTGGTTGAATTCCTCAAAGTGCCGCGCAAAACTGATCCGATGTACGTTGCACGGCCAGCAACCTGACAATATTAATGACACAATTGCCTCTCCAGGTTCTTGGAGCAAAGAAAGGCGCAGGGCCAACCCAGCTGATGGATGCGTCGGCAAATTAGCGCACGCAAAAAACCTAAAAGGGCCAACTGAATCACTGAGCAAAAAGTTGCCAGCCAAACGCCAATTGCCAGACACTTTTTTTCCTCCATCCGCAGCTCAAGCAAGAGATTCAGAAATTTCTGAATGTCTGCGCGCGTTTTTATGTCTCAACTCGGCAAAGATGCTTTGCTAGCTCTAAAAGGCTTCGCAATCTGCGCAACGGACAACAAAAATTAAACTAAAAGCAAACTTCTTTAAATTTAACACAAATCTAAATCGAAACTTAGCAGAAAAATATAAATTCATGCTATCTGCTTAGAGATGGCTTTGGCCTTCTGATTGACTTCTCTAGGTTCTTGCACTTTCACCTAATCTGATATTTGAAAATATACGACGTTTAGATAATTGCGCCTATATTTGGGGGGCGTGGCACATAAGCTAACTATTTTCTGAAAACCCCATAAAAAACCCCATCGAAAGCGATTTACTGCTCACCGCGTTTCACGTCTTCTAGGTCGTGTTGTTTCTAGTTAAAATGATATATTATGAGAAATTTTAATATTGCGTAGACAATCAAAACAAAAATAAATCAATACATATTTTGTCTGCCATTTTCAGCAAGTTGGCATCGTTTGATGGTAAAAAGGCTATACGTGGAGGTATACCGTTTGTTTTTCGTAAGTACATACATTGTATATATATAATTATAATTATATTATATAATTTAAAAATTGTAGCACAATTTGGACCCTGGTCCTTTGGTCCACAGCACGGCTTTGCAAGAATCACACGCTGGCATTTGGATCGAGCCCCAGAACGACTGCACAATGGCGATGTGGAGGCAATATTTTCGCTGTTGGACAATGAGTTTACGCGTTCTATATGGAACTATCAGTAAGTGTCTGGCAAGTCTGTCAGTTGAAGTTGATTCATTCTTCTATTATGTGCAGATTTCGGATAACCTATCGCTTGATTCTGCGTGAAAAGGAACTACACTTTCACATCGGCGTTTATAATCCTAGCAAAGATCTGAGTTTCACATTCAACATGTTGTTGCACACCTATCTAAAAGTTCCAGATGTTCGACGATGTCAGATAACTGGACTTCAGGGCTGCCACTTTATAGACAAGACACGCGAGGGCGCTCTGTATCAGGTAGAGCTTTAGCTGACTCCTTATATTATTATATTATAGACATTTAAAATTGCATACCCTGTATTACCTTCAGGAGGGTCGTGAGGTGGTCACTGTTAACGAGTGGACAGATCGCATCTATCAGCATACGCCACAGGAGCATGTAATAACGAATGTAGTATCTGGGCGTAAGATGAGGCTGCACAAATATAATTTCCCAGATACAGGTGAGTGAGCTTACCGTTTATATGCGTATAAAATCACTAGCTATATGACTAGTGATAAATGTCATAAAACATGTATACAATTTTAAAGGGACCTGTTACAAGACTCTGTTGACTCAGCTGACTGTTAAAAGATTCAGTAGTTGAAGCCCCTGTTAAGTTTCTTTAAGTTATGTAGTGTTATTAGTGTCATTGGTGCTATCTTTTTCGGTTTCTGCTATCTTGTCGGTTATCCTTCTTATACCCTGAACCCATTGACAATGGAAAATCAGGGTATAATGGTTTTGTATAGAGTATGTAACAGGCAGAGGGAATCATCGCAGACCCCATAAAGTATATGTATTCTTGATCAGGATGATGAGCTGAGTCGATATAGCTCTTTCCGTCCGTCCGTTTGAGCAAGCCGATCTCAGAAGATATAAGAGCTATAGAGCTGCGATAACGCATTCTATATATTTTTATCGAAAATATTCGATAAATTGATTTATATTTTTCAGCCTAACTGAATACTATTAGTTCGTTTTTTCAGCCTAACTTGAATACTATTAGACCTGGAGACTTCAGATTTACTGTGTATATACATCTAATGAATACGAAGAATTCGTAATTTACAGATTTTTGATACCAAGCCGCCTTCGCACCTAATTTGTAAAAAACTTATTTTAAGTAGTAGACTTTTGCTTCGGAGCATACATACATACATGAAAGTATTATGAAGCTAGTCCTACTACAAGACAAGTAGAGAGGTATTAGAGTGCCTACTTATGCGTGCGTGTGGATGCAGTGTATGTATGTATATGTATGTGCATAAAACATGTGCAGTATGATTGAAGGGTATCTCTCCTAGTCGAGCAGTCTCAACTTGAGCCTTCTTATTTGTGTGTGTTTTTTTTTTTTTTTTTTGATTAAACTTATCTATTAAAATCATATATGATGACACACCCACATTGTTTTATCGCAAAATTGGTGGTGTATGTTGACTTTTTTCCTTGACTATATAGCTAAAGTGTGGCTCGAAGAGCACCAAAGTCTTCTTGTTGTGTGTGGTTCCAAGATCATATGTCAAGTTGACGATGAATTAAAATTTGGTAAATATCTAAAAGCTTGTAACACTTTGAAACTTTGTAACTTATTGCAGTTATTTGGAATCCGTGGATCGATCGGTCGCGAGAAATGAGCGACTTTGGTGACGATGAGTTTCCCAATATGCTATGCGTAGAGGCTGGCAATGTCAGCTCCCCAGTCATATTGCTTCCGGGCACTTGCTTTGAAGCCAGCCAGATACTACAGGTACATGCATATTCGATATATATAGCGTTATTATTTAATAAGCTGCAACCCACGCCCACAGCAATTTAAGTGTCCCTATAATTTGGTACTGCCCAAGAAAAAACCTCAGAGAAAACTAAAATGATTGCGTAAAATCTTAATTGAATCTATTATACTTTAACTATATCTATCCAGATTATCATCGAAGGAAATGTCAGCCGTAAGACCAAACGGAATCGCTAGCGTTTAAGGAATCGGAACCCGCTGAGGTGAACCGATTCGTACACCATTCATTGAGATCGTCCACAAAATAAGCAGAAAGTCAGGAAGAATTAGGAACACTTTGTCAGTTGATTATAAGTGAATAATTTAAGTTACTATCCCTATAACTAGCGCACAATAAAACCCCATTCCCTCAAAAAAAAAAAAAAAAAAAAAAAAAAAAAAAAATAAAAATAAAAATAATAAAAGGAGTGCTGTTAAAGCAGAACTATGGTAAATGCTCAAATTGAGAATGCGGTTCGTGTCGTCCCCCAAGCTAAAGAAAAATAATACTTAAATACATATTAAATTGTGCATTAACTAAACTAAACTAAATTAGCACTAGCCTCACATAGTACATGTGTATACGATACGATACGATCTACATATATTTTATAGCCTAGATTTAAAATCATCTCTGTGTAAAATACTAAAAAATTGAGAGAAATAAAAAGTTGAATACATTAACAATTAGTTTGCGCTATGTCAATTTATATATGTAGTATCGATATATAAATAAATTCATTTAAATGTATAAATGTATATAAATGTATATCTACATGTGTGTATATATGGATGGATACATAGTTATGTATATTTACAGTCCATTATGTTACTCGATCTTTTGAGGGCGACCAACGTGGAAAAACTGTTTCAGCCATGCTAAACAACGCATAGCTGATATTCCCAACGATATGATGTTTATCAGAAGAATCCCGTGTCTGTTAAAAGGGATTAATGATATGTATTATATACAGGAACTAAGTACAAAGTGCATTTAAGAAGATCGACTCACTATGTGATAGTTGAAAAATGTATTCCGTGCTAGCGCATGTTGAATGCGAACTAAACACATGAATATGAATATACTTATTTTCAACATTTTGTGCGACTTTTGGCACACCTTACAACCAACGTCTGTTGCTTTTTCTATCCTACTGTCAAGCTACATATGTGCCGCACAATCGTTTTATTTATTGAAAAACAACAGAAAGTTGCTGGAAAGCTGCACATATGTTATAACAGCTTTTGCTGCGAAGTTCAAATGCACCTGCGGATTATATAATGGCTTTCACGAGCTTAGTTTGAACAATTCCACAAATATTTTTCTGCGAACACCAAGTAAAATTTAACCAAGAAACAGTAAAGCTGATCAAATATTTAATATAATTTAAATATATTATATAATTTAAAGATGGTTAGCAGGAACAGAATAAAGTCGTTGTTTCTAGTTTATGTTTCTATTCTCAACTATCTGTTAATGAATAAAAAGTCAGCTAGCTCCTGACCTTCGGCAGTATTAACTAATAATAAAGGAGATATGGTCTCATTAACCCCGAGCGAATGCAAGTGCAAGTGTTACCGAAGAGGTTAGGCTCTATTTAATGTGGTTATTAGGCACAGCTATAGTGGAGGGTGACCGAATCTCAAGAGCATATAAACATTACCTTGACAATATCTTGGAGAAATAATTTTACTTTAATCACTTGGTCGCCATCTATACTTAGCTTACATTTATTAGATTTCCGGTTGTTTTTAGCTTACGATTAGGATTTTGTTTTTACAATACATATATAAATTAGGCTTTTCTAGAATATAATCTACGCAATGCACTCGAAAATTGAGCGACGCCCGTTAACTATTAGTAAAGATTCTCAATCGGTGTTTTTGTCGTTAATTAAAGCGGCGCAGCAGCAGGTAAAGTAAACTTATAGCACACTTAGTTAAGAGAGAAGAGGGCTAAATAGCTTAAACAAGATTTTACACATGGCCTTTCTTTATAGACTCATTCATACATATATATATATATATATATATATATATGTATATACATATGTATATTGTATATAAATATTATATTATAGGTAATAAGTATTACGAACAAATGATATTGCAGGGATAGTTTGGTGTACAGCATTGTGTGCCAGATAGTGGATGGTTTAATCTATTTTCACGGCACCATAGATTTTAAGTATGAAAACATAGGCAGCAAAGAAGCCAATGGAGCCTGTCAGTAGCCAAAATGTTAGCACCATTAGACCTAATAAAAATAAACAAATTATTATCAAATAACTGCAATGTATACAGGAATGACCCACCTGTGTAACCCAAGTAAAGCAGTGTGGGTATAAATTCTGTAATCTCCAGCTTGGTAAAAAAATAAAATATGCTATAGAAAAGCACATACACAGCCGAGCCACCAGAGACAATAAAGCTACGCCACCACCAGCGATAATCCTGTAAGATAATACAATTAATAGAGTATTCTCAGCAGTCGAGTATTTTTATATGGCATATACCTCGCCACACAGCTGAAAGTAGGTCATAACGATGGAGATCTGAGCACAGCTAACAACTAGAATGCAAAACACCAAAAACAGAAAACCAAACAAATAATAAAATTGATTCTGCCAAATGGCCGTAAAAACGAAGAATAACTCGATGAATACAGCGCCAAATGGCAAGATACCAGCCATTAAGGTGCTGTAAAGGAGAAACGATTAGTTACGATTATCAATGGGGGTAAGTAGCTAACCGACCTCAGGGCTGCATTCATATACCAATGCTGCGTGGGCACCTGGCGTGGTATCATATTCGTCCGCACTGGATGTTGATACGGTTGCTTCCGATAGCCTAGGTAGAATCCTACATAAACGAGCGGCACAGATATGCCGAACCACAGCAACAACAGCGATATCATTGTGGTAAAAGGCACAGCGCCGCTCGAGGATTTATCCCAAATGAAAAAGTTCAAAATGAATCCCGTGCTGCAATGAATAAAAATACACATAAGTACAATTGAACTTAAAGCCAAAGACCAGACTCACCCAAAGACGATGCCCGGATAGAGTGTGGCAGTTAGGAAGGCAGCCCGTTTCCATTCCCGTCCCTTCATCGTTTTGTATAGACGCGCTGCATAGTAGCCGGCAATGGTTCCCATGAAAACGTACATAAAAATGCCGGACGTCATGAGAGCCCCACGTGACGAGGGCGACAGCATGCCAAGCATAGCAAAAAAGATCGTAATCATGGCCATAAAAAAGATCTGGATACCGCTGCCAATGATAGCAGAGAAGAGGCGCGTGTTCTTGGGCGGTCGGAATACGTCGCCATGAACCAACTTCCAGCCGGTCTCCTCAAGCGTATCCTCGATATTATCATCCGTATTATAGCGAGCAATATCCCGCCTCAAAGTGCGTATCATGATCATAGTGAGTATACCCGATAAGAAGAAGACTACGACCAGCGAATTGATGATGCTAAACCAATGGATTTGCACGTCGCGCATGCCCAAATAAATGTCCCAGCGTGAGGCCCAGCTAACCTTAGACTCCTTCCAAACAACAGAGTACGTGAAGTAGAGCTGGGTCTCGCCCGATGGATTAACAAGCTGTGGACTTGGACTGTCGGGGAAATTGCAGCTGTCGCCCTCAAATTTGAGTTCCTTGTGGCTAACGGACCCAGTTATCACTTCAAACCCAACCACCCGATATTTATCCTTGGTGTACATGTGATAGGAGAGAATGAACTTCAGATGGTTGTTAATGTAGATTTTATCGCCATCCACTTGTCCCAATCTGTACCCATGCTCGTACGTCACTTCAGCGGGATTCGTTGCACTGACAATGCGTGTCGCCACCGGCAAATTGTCCACTAGCAAGTGAACAAAATACTCGTGCTGTATACGCTCAGCAACCATTGCCGAATCCTCTTTGCTCCAGGTCATGGGTAAATCTTTTTTATTGCAGAGCAGCTTACAATTTACGTCCTCGGCCATTTGAACCTCGTAGGGTGTGTTCACTATGCGATCACCACGCAGAACTTCACCGAGATTCTCTGATTTGAAGATTAGGGTTCCATTCTTGGGATAGCAGAAGCGCAGTGAATAATACTGATAGGGAAGCTGGGTTCGGCTGCTGGTCATTTTAACCGCTTTAACATCGATTTTTTGTCCACGCACGAACTCAACGGGTGCCACGCCGGGCACATAAAAGCAATCAACAATGACGACGACGCTGCTGCTGGCAAGCAGCGTCAACATCATCGTCCACTAGAAAAATGAAATATTATAAAATAAAAAGAGAAAAGAACATAAACAAAATTTGATTGCGTGTCCCTTTTGCCAACGTTTCGTTTATAGACAGTTCGCTGCATTTACTTAAGTTCTGGTGTGCACGTTGCAAGACTCACCTGCATGGCTACCTGCGGAATTGAAGCCTAGAAGTCTAAATGTGCACTGAATGTAAATGTATATATTTAACTGAAAATTTGCCAATTTATAAACTAGCTAAAAAAAAATATATTCTTTCTTCTTATTGCCTCTTCTCGCTTGCAATTGTCGCCCGCGTAGTGTAGGGAAACGTTCAAATTCGTTCTATGGTATTTTTTCTGTTACTATTAACATAACAGCTGTACATTCAAAATTTAAATCGCAAGAACTTATACATATATATATATATATATATATATATATAGTAGAAGATATATATTTATTTCATTGAGATATATTATGACAATCGTCGGTGATTTTAAAAATCTATATAGTATTGGTAAATTATAAATACAACAACATTTTATTTGAATAACACACCACCAATAACAGTCCACAATTCTGTTAAATCAGAAGCAGAAAAACGAACTAGATGAGCAAACCATTTTACACAAGTTCGCTTGGTTTAGTTTACCTGAGTCGTTTGAGTGAATTTGTTCCAAGCGACTCTATACCAGCGAAAATATGTGTCTCAAATAGTGTAAAATTGTTCGAAATTAAACTGAATTTGATCTTTTGCGTTTGAATATATAAAGCACCAACAACGACTCAATAGTTTTCCGTTCGAAATACCGCTTCGCCCATCCTATTGTGCACTGCTTTGTTGTTCTGGTTGTTGTTGTTGTGGCTGTTGCTTGTTCCACTTGTTTTCTATATTTCTATGTACAAGGACGGTGATGCGACGCTGCTGAAGTCGTACTCGTCCTTGCTTGACAAAGGCGCAACAATTAGCACGCGCAACAAGGCGGGTGAGTCGATGTGTTCGTGAATGTGTGCGTGAGAAAATCAATACTAAAAAAAAAACAAAATACAAAAACTGAAAGCATTGCTTATGTTTGCGTGTATGTGCGGGCCTTGTGATTGTGTTTGTGTGCGTAGGTGTTGCGTACTAAACTTTCTTTTTCTACAAACAGCCAAATAATTGAAGCAGTCAGGAAAATACCAAAAAGTTAAATAAAGAAAATACCAAAACCTACACATTCCATACACATAGTATGGAAAATAAACAGAATGCTGCAGTTACCGCCAACGCCGCTGCCACTGCCGCTTCCCCCGCCGTTGCCGCCAGCAGCAGCAGCAACAATGCCGACGACAATGACAGTGATAATGATGTGGTCACCGATTTTCTAAACTCCAATTGCAACAGCAACACCAACGGAGTGGGAGACGTGTCAGCTTCTCCCGCTGCGCCAAATACGAAAATCTTGCATTCTGCCCCTCGTGTTACAGTGGAAAGTCAAAATTATTGCATACCTGTTATTAATGCACCTGTCCCAGCTGTGGCGCTTCCTGCAAATAACAATAACAATACTAACAATATAACGCAACACGGCAACAACAACATGATACCCACAATTAATGTGACACCTCATAGCCCGGCCTCGGCCTCCAAGTACAACAACATCTTCGAGGACACGTTGAGCCAGTTGCAAAATATACGCGAAACGGTGCAGCAGATGAAGAACTCCTCCTCCAGCCACAATCAGCAGGATGGGCTGGCCAACAGCTATGGCCTGCTTAATGCGGCGATACTTAGCGCCTCGCTGCCCGATCTCAGCAATACGGGAGGCAGTACCAACGTCAACGGCGCCGGTGGCATCAACAACATGGGCATCATGTGGTCAGCAGCGCCACAGCAATGCCTTCTCCTGCACACAGACCGACGGAAATCCTGGACGGCGGTGGATGATGGCAATGCGACGGGTGATTGTACCAACAAGAGCGTCAGCCTGTCCAGTCTGGACAGCGAGGAGCAGGAAACCATACGCGTTACCGAGCAGCGAAGGCGCTCCGCTAGGAACAGCACAGGCGGTAAGAGCATGCTAAGTATACATATATAATACTATTTTTCACTACTGTATCGGACTGAGTTAATGATAGGCGATTTTTGTATTCCTATGTAGGAAAACTAATAATACAAGTAGGGTCAGAATAGTACAATATACATTGATAGAGTCGTATGCGTCCTTGGAATATGTTAAATTTTCATTTACTAGTTGGCTTTATATGGATATTTTTAATATTCATTAAATTGTAAACTATAAATATTAATACTATTATTATAAGGATGCTTCTTTAGCGATTTATTCAACTTAAATAATGAAGAGAAAGCTAAAGGATTTGTTTAGTCAAAAATTCTGTATGGAATCATGGCTGACCTAGGAGTAGATGACTTTGCTACTGCCGAGCTCTTCAGGTCATTTAATCCATTTTCTGATGATAAATACAAAAAGATCGAAAGCTTTGAAAAAACTAGTGATGCAATAATTGTTATTAATATAGAAAATTAAATCTGAATATGAATTAATTTGAGAAGTAATTCACAATTCGTGCGTCACAAACGCATCTTACGCGCTAATATAGCCCACGGGTCTAGTTCTAAGGAGTGTTTAGTTTCGATTACGATAAGACATTCCACAAAAGCCTCATAGCGCTCGTTATCAGTGCCTAGTACCGGAGTCCAAGAGACAGTCGCATTCACATTTTTGCTGTTATTTCACTCGATTTTCATTTAGCATTTCCGTACATATTTTCACATACTCCAACTTTTCACTCGCAGGAATTTCAACTCATTCGCTGAACGAGGCGGAGCTGGCGCGAGATTTCGAGCGTATTGCGGCTAAGAGAAGTCTAGCCACGGAGATTATTAGCCGAATACCGTTGCAGAAGAGCATATCAACCTCATCGATCATTGCCAAGGAGGACATCAAAGTAATCTCGCGTCACCTCACAGATAGCGAGGATGAGAATCAGTCCTTGTTGCGCTCACATGCCAAGATCGAGGTTTATGATCACGTAGAGAAGCGTCCAAAGCGTGGGTCCCTATTCTTTCGAAAAAAAAAACCAAAGACCAAGACGAAGTCGCTAGTGGGTGGCGTTCAGCTAAGCGATATGGAATCGCACCTGGAACGCAAAAAACTGTCAGCAGGCCAGGACTATTGTGATGGCTCTGAGGGCCTGCACCAGCAGCATTACCACCAGCATCATCAGATGCAGGAGCAAGAGGATCAACAGCCGCTGATACGTGCCGCCGAGCTACAATTTCTTAATGAGCCGCCAATCGAGGCGCAGGACTTAGGAGCTGACCCCGTACTGGGCATTGTACTACAAGAGCCCGACTCCTGGACGCCGAATGTACCCAAAGAGCAGCTGAAAACGCTTAAGGAACTCCAGATTAAGCGACAGGAGCACATTTACGAGTTCATCATGACCGAGAAGCACCACTGCCAGACGTTAATTGTAATGCGCAAAGTCTTCGTGGAAAGTATGGAGCGGCATTTCCCAGCGCTGAATACGCACAGCATGTTTCCTCGGCTCCAGCAGCTGACAGAGCTGCACACCTGCTTCCTGCGCCAGCTGCGGCAGAAGCAACGCGAACATCTCGTTGTGGATAGCATTGCGGACATCCTGCTCGAGTTCTTCTCGCTGGAGCAGGCGCAGTGCCTGCGCTTGGCCTACGGCGAATTCTGTGCGAACCACCGCAGTGCTCTGGAACAGTTCAAACAATGCCTCGCTGAGCCGAGCTTTGCTGAATGGTATAAGCACTGTCTGCAGAATCCCCTGCTCAAAAAGAAGGGCATACCAGAGTGCATATTGTTTGTCACACAGCGATTGACTAAGTATCCGCTACTGATTGAGCCTTTGCTAAAAAGCGCACGAGATAATAAGTTGGAGACGGATAAGCTGCAGCATGCGCTGAACTTGGTCAAATCTCTTCTGGTTGACGTTGATGCCTGTGTGGCGGAGAAGGAACTGCGTGAGCGACAGTTGGAGATCTATGCCCGCGTCGATGCGAAATCTTTTGCTATCTATAAGAATAAACCCTTCCGCAAGACCGAGTTGGGAGTGGAGTCACGGCGACGTCTCAAGTTCGACGGGTTGGCCACGTTGATGCAGGGTCGAGCTAAGACGCAGTTGGTTTTGATTGTAGTGCTCACAGATTGCCTTTGCTTTCTTGTCGAGAACTCGGCGCATAATAAGTATGCGTTCTTCACGCCCGAGCACAAGGCGGGCGTGGTTCCGTTGCAAAAGCTGCTGATACGCGAGAAAGCGGGGACCGAATCTCGTGGAATCTATATCATCAGCTCCAATCCCGATTTTCCCGAAATGTACGAACTCAAGGTGCAAACGCCAAAGGACAAACAAACCTGGATACAGAGCATCAGGCAGGCAGTGCTCGACTGTCCTGCCACGGATATCATCGAAGCTGAAGCGCTGACGGCTGAAGAGAAGCTCCGCATTGGTGTCAACAAGCGCGAGATCATTGAGAAGATGCGCCAAAAGGATATTGAACAGGCGTTACTGCTGGAGGAGAAACTGATGCTACAGTTCAATCTGCTCAAGCAGCAACAACCCTTCGGCGAAGATCTCAATGCGGCTAACACGAATGGCAGTGCGGCCAATTTCCTGGCTGCCTTTGGCTCCTATAAGGAGTTGGTTTCCACAGACTGCGATACTGCGGAGCTCTGGCGACGCGTCCTCAACACTGTGCAGGACATTAGTCAGCTGGCGGCAAGCATTTATAGCGCTGCCACTGGGCTTCCCGTCTCTCGCACCGTCAGTAGCGTGGGCGAGAAACAAAGTGCTCTCTATGCGTCGCCCACATTGCCGAAGCGTGCGGAAACCTTTGCGGGCTTCGATGAGAAAAGGGGTAAACTGAACGTGGGACGGGAGGCCAAGCTGACGCCGCGGCTGCAGGAGCTGGAGGAGAAGCGTGAGCTGAAGACCCAAGCACCAGTTGAGTTGGCTGCAGCGCCAACGCAGCTCCAACTGCACGCCAGCACGCTGCCCACCAATAGCAAGGAGCACAACTACGCGGTGCTCCAGGTGTCGCATCATTTGCACACGCTGCTCTGCATCATCTCGCAGCAAATGACTTGCATACAGAGCCTGCAGCTGCAACTGGCGCTGTATCGCGAGTCGCCAAGGAGCAGCAGTGTCGGCGGAGGCTCTAGCGCCGGCGGTGCAGGTGGTTCAGGAGCTGGCGGTAGCTCTGCCTACACGCACAAGGATCAGCTGGAGGAGCTGCGCAACTTGCAGGATAAGCTGCAGGAAGAGAAGACCGCTTGGTTGCGACAAAAGCAACAGCAAATGGACGAGCTCGTCGAAATGCGGGCGCAGCAGCTGCAGCTGCAGCAGCAAATTAAGGCCGAACAGGAGGACATACGCCAGCAGCGTGAGCAGCTCTATCGGAAAATGGAGTTGTTGTCCAGTCAAGGCCTTTTGCTATCGCCCAGTACTCCGCTGCCAACGCTTGCGCCAGCCCTCGCACCTGTCGCTTTGCCGGAGGACGCACATGAGCTGGACACGCCCACGGCAACAACACCAACAACAACAACCGCCTCCACCATCGATAGACGTAAGGAGAAGTGGCTGAGCAGCGGATCCAGTTGCAAGACTCCGCCTGTGCATTTGCTTAGTGCGAATAACGCGCCGAAAGCGAATGCGACGCTCGTGAAACAGAAACTGCCCATGAAACTATCATCGTTGTCATCCGGCACGCGGGTCGACAAATCAGCCAGCTTCAATAACAGCTCCAGCAATGGGTCCACGCCTGCTTCCGCCGGAGTGCAGCAAATGTTTCCACTAAAGTTGGCCGACAAGCAACGGCAAATGGCCACGCCTACGCCGCAGCACTCGCGCACCGGCAGCTCACCAGCCATCATACAGCAGGTCGGCGGAGCCCCGGTCACCAACTTAACGCCAAATTCTACAGGACATTACGCCGGATATGGAGGAGCCGCTGCAGCAGCAGCTGCTCAGCAGCATCAACAGCGACTGGCGCAAACACCCACGAGCAGCCGCAACAATGCGAATGCGAATGCGAATTTGAATGTGAATGTGAATATGAATATGAATATGAATGTGAATGCAGCCGCACGTGTGAGTGCTCCTCTGGGCAATTCGGGGCAAGCGCCACGCGCCAAGCCCGAGGAGGAGGAGATCTACTTCTGACGCAAATTCACGCCAGAGGTAGAAATCTAAAAATTTAAGCAGCCAACCCCCACATTCCAATAATAGCTCAAAGGTGTGGTATAATTTGCCTAGCAGTTAGGAACATGTTCTTCATTTGCTGTAGATAGGAGATAAATTCCCTAGAAATGCTTTATCATTCCAGCATTTCATACAAGACATACGTTATGAAATTCTAGGTTAAGTGCAAGTTTTGTTTACTGGTTTTGCTCTTATTTCTTGTTTTATTCCACTTCAACTCTACTCAAGAAAGTCAGGACGAAAGTGCCACGAATCAATTGACAATTCACTTTTACTATCACAATTCACTTTCCTCTCTTTTAAATTAAATCATTTTCTTTTTTCACATTTGATGTGAAGTCATAGAAATTAAAGATATTTTTACATATTAAAGGACACATAATAATAGAGAAGAGACTTATTGTGTATTATTCCGCTGTTCCTTTTGACAAGAAATATGCTAAAGAAAATAAAAAAGTATTTACATAAAAACGAATAGTAAATATTTAGTACAAGTAAGAATATTTGAAATGAAAGAGTTCGTATAGAAATTATGTGAAGACTAACTATTGAAAACATTTGGGATTATGGAATACTGAGAACTAAAACATATCTCTCAAATGCTTAAATATGTTTCCATTTCACATTCAAATACATTTCCATTAGGTAACCAATTAAAATGTGGGCAAATTATACCATTAACCAGGCATCTCAAAAACGCAGTCTACTCGTTTGAGTGCTCGTCCATTAACTTAAGTAATCCCAAGTCTGTGTTTACCAATATATAATATATATATTTACATATATATCTATGTTTACTTAATTTTTCAAATTTCTTTAACTAAGTATCTCAAAAAGTATCAAAGTTTTTATAAGTGTACTGTATTATACGTAGAAAAAGATGTCTGGACTTTACAGAGTACAACTTTGTACTTAAAACTTAAATTTATAAAAACTTTGATCGGGTCCTAACACCATCTTATCAAACAGTTCTTTTTTTAATGTGTTTAAAATTGTTTGAAATTGTCAAATGCATTTTTAATCTCTTTTTGTTTCAACTACTTCAATATCTGAATAGTCACGGAAGTAGTTTGAATTAATGATCTTAACGTATAGCTAACTATTTATTCTCTCAATGTACTTAGACTTTTGTATTCTTCACAAATCTATTGTGTGTTTTTACTTTTAATCTTCTTCAAATCCAACTTAATTATGTATTAAACAATTACACAAAAAGAAACTCTAGATATTAGAAAGCGATATCGATAACTGAAACGAATATGAATGTAAAAAAAATCATGTATGGTTAGGTCTCCATATAAAAACTACATGTTTAAGCTTATTTACAGATTATACATATATATAAAATCTATATATAAACATATACAAATCATTTAAATAACTATACTTGAAGAAAGCTATATACGGTTTAGCATTTACTAAATCGTATTAGGCACTAAAGGTCTGCTAATATTTTATTTCAGCAAATTCTGTATTATTTAAAAATATATATATTTTTGTTTATATAAAAAAGTGTAAAACGAATTTGTAAATTCCAAATAACTGAAACAAGTGGGGAAATTCGACTAAAAATAACCAAAATCAAAAGTTATTTAAAAATCAATATTAAACTTTTATTAAGTTTGGTTCTTAAAATTTGTTATATCAACATTCTTCCAAAATCTTTTTAAATTCATTTTATTTATACAACTATACAACCATAAATATATATTGTTGTGTTGAATAAATGCATTGTATCAAAGATATTTTTGAGATTTTACAAAATATAAGTTTAGCAAAGATTCATTTAAAATATCTGTATCTAAATTTTGTTCATTTGGTAAACATCTCTACAGTATCAGTAAGTGATATTCCATTTATACATCTTTTCGCCCTTAACAAATTCTATTTAACATCCCGTATATACAAAAGGAAATAATCTTGAATATTTGAGACTTCGCCATCCTTAGGCATCGAACTAAATCTCTTTGGATTTCAATTCTTCTTTTGAATACGTGTTCGCTGGTTGCATGTATTTTTTTTCGGTTTATAAAATAATTATAATTAATTAATATTATATATACTATGTGCCAGTTTGGTTAAAATGCAATTTGAGCCAAGAATTCCAAATTGGTATAAATCAAAGTTGCGTAAAATATACATGAAACAAAATGAATGAAAAATCTAAAAACTCTACCTCCAAAGACGTTCGAGATACATATAATTTAACAACTGAAACTCGGTATGTTTTTAATATATAATTGTATACATAGATGTATGGATGGACTTACGTTAAATATATATCGCATATATACAGAATGTGTGTTTTTTTTTTTTTTTTGCGCTATGTATATATATATATATATATATATATATATATATATATATATATATATATATATATATATATATATATATATATATATATATATATATATATATATATATATATATATATATATATATATGTATATATATATATTTAGAATATGTTGATCGCTCCAATAAATGTTTAAAATTCGAGCCTAATGCGAAATGAGGAAGCCGTTCTTTCAATAGTCGAAATCCTGTTTGCGAGGACACTTTTGGCGGGTGTGTCCTTCCTCGCGACATAGGCCGCATCGACGCGTCCGATTCCCAGCTGGAGCCGCTACACCTGCACCAGATTTTGATGAGCTGGCTGCTTGGAAAGGTATTTCCGAACATTTATCGATTAAAAATGCATTACATTAGTTAATACTGAACTCACCTGGCTGCCCATGTGAATCGCCCCATTGAAAAAAGCCGCAGGACTTTTCGCGATTCGCGCATGCAAAAAAGGGTCGTCCCTTATTGGGCCCATCCTTGCGGACGATCAGACTGCTAGCGGGCTTGTCGCAATTGCATTTGGTGCTGCCATCGATAGCGGGTCGTTGAGTTATAGTCACAGTGCTGCTGGAATTAGGCCGGATGTGTGAGCTCTGGGAGCTGTTGCTATTGCGATTAAATGTGGAGCTGGCTTGGCTGCTGCTGCTGCCACGATTCCAATCCATGTTTTCTGTACTCCAACTGGAGGTGCTGCGCGCATTTGTTAGCTGGCCGCTTGCCCTTTGCTGTGTAGCTGAACTTGTCCCCCAGTTTGAGCTGCTGTTGCCACTTGTTGATGCTGCTTGGGCAGCACTTTCCGTACCCCATCTAAAGGTTGTCGGCGATCTGCTTCTTCCTTGTTCCAGGGTTCCAGCACTGCCCCAATTTGAATCATTGGAATTTTGAGAGTTATTCCGGTGCGCTGCTCCCTTTGTACCCCATGAGAGAATTTCTTGGGAATTGCGCCTTTCCTCCCTGTCAACTACTGATGTGCCCCAACTGGATGAGCTGTTGGTTTCCTGCCCTGCTACCTTGCCCGAATTGCTGATGTTCGTGGCGGGAACAGCTACTGTTGGCTGCTGCTCGGCCCACTGAAAGAATTTGCACTCATTAGGTTTGGGGCATTTGTAGTAATGCCGGCCCTTGTTGGGTCCATCGCGCAGCACAGTAAGCTGGCGAGCAGGCTGATGGCAGCCAGTGCAAAACACCGCAGTTGGAGCTTCAGCTGCAGAAGCTTCATTTAATCGCGCTCGCTTCACTGTTGGCTGCGCTTCGGCTGCTGCGCGTGCCTGCCTGCCCCATAGCATGGGAGCCTCCTCGGCCTCGTAAGCGTCGCGCATCCATTGGGTCAGGCTGCTGTCCAAGTTAGCTGCCATTCTGTTATTGCTTGTGCTGTTGCTGTTGTTGTTTTCCGCCAGCAACGACTCAAAGTCCGCATCATCATCTGCAGCAAATGCTGCTGCAATGTCCTCATCCAGCTGTTGAGCTACCGCGGATCCAGACTCGGCTACAGCTGCAGCTGCCAGCAGCTGCTCATCGAAGCCATCGTTGTCGCTGTCAAAGAAACCATCTAGACTTGCAGTGCCCCGACTATTGGTGTGCGTGAAGAAGTTTCTTATGCCACCTGCAGCTGTTGTTGCTGCTGCAACATTCGCTTTTTTCTCTCTAGCTGTAGTTTTGGTGTTCCGTTTCGGCTTGGCTGGTTTTTGTGGGCCTGCATTATTTGCTGAGCCCAAAGAATTGCCACTTGCCGGATGAGTACCTAAACAGGAAGCGGTCCCACCACAAGTTTTCCCTCCACCTCCACCACCTCCACCCGGTCCTGGTCCTGGTCCCGGTCCCGGTCCTGGTCCTGGTCCTGGTCCTGGTCCTGGTCCTGGTCCTGGTCCTGGTCCTGGCCCTGAGCTTCCCGCCTGTCCCACAATTCTGCCCACGCGCTTCACTTGGTCCAGGTTGATGTTGAAGGTGCTTCTAAACAATTCATCACACCGTAAGCAATTCTTGTACCATCCATAAGGAGCATTGAACAAACCACGATAGTAGGCGGTGTTTAGCTTAAATTTGAGCATTTTATAGCCATCGCCACAAGTTGGGCAGCATTCATCCAACACGGTTAACTCCTTGCACTCCTCCGGCAACCAAATGACATTTTTGCAGTCCGGGAAATTAAGGCAACCAATGAAAAAGCTTGTCTGATTCTTTTTGGGTTTTAAGGCGAGCGGTGCCTGCTCGCATTTAGGGCACGGGAAGAGCTCGTGTACCAAACCACTTGACGGGTTCGCGGTGGCGGCCGTTGGCGTTTCGTTAATCCTTTGCGCTATTTTGTCATCCATGGCTGTGATCTTGTCCATAATCTGCTGGTAGGCTGTTTTATATTTAGCAATTTGTTCGCGCAGCACAAGCTTTGGATCCTTTTCGCCCAGGCAAATGCGTTTCAGATCAGCTTCGAATTCAGCGCGCAGCAGCGGCTTCGCCAAAGTCAACTCCATGGCATCGTAGCCCTCGTACAATCCCATGCCAATAACTCCTGGCACTAGAGCTCCTTTCTCTACCACGCCTATATAGCCGCGCTCCTTTATCGTGTTGATGTGCTCAGCATGTGTTGCATCTGTGCCGATTCCGTGTTTTTCCATCAACGCGATCAAATCAGCTTCTGTAAGCAGCGGAGGCGCTGTAGTCGCTCCCTCATGCAGCATAATCTCCGTCGGCTCAAACCGCTGACCCTGCTGATAGTTATGAATCTGCTTCGCACTCCACTTATCATACACATAAACGTCCAAATAGTTCCTTTCGTGTATAACCAATCCACTGGCGCTAAACTTCTCTCCGGCTATATCAATGCTAACAATTGTCTCCGAGCCTACTGCATCCTTGCTGACGCATGCGAGAAAATGTCGCACGACCAGCTCATATACGCGCGCCTCGTTGCCCTGCAGATCTGTTAAATTTAAAGTTATAATAGGCCAAGTTTTCAGTTACTCAATTCAACTTACTTGAGACAAGCTTAGTGGGGTGGATAGGAGGATGCGCTTGATCGGATTTGTTTCCGTTCCTTGGATTTGGTCCCCACTCTAGAACACGTTGCGCGAATGCACCCCACGCCTCGTGCCCCGTTTGCTGTTCCACAAGGGGTGTCAATTCAAATTCCTTAGAGAACTGGTTAGTCTCGGTACGTGGGTAACTTATAAAACCCTTGCTATAGAGTTTTTCGGCTATGGTCATCGTTTCCTTGGCAGATAGCTTCAGTTTGCGTGAGCCCAACTTTTCCATTTCCACAGTATCCAAAGGCGTGGGTCGCCACTTATGCTTCGGTTTTACCACAACGCTTTCAACAGTGGCTCGCGGCTCTGGCTCTGCCAGGCAGAGCAGCAAATAGTTCTCGCATGCCTCTTTGTCAAACAAACGATTACGTGCCCAATTGAACTCCACTGTGAGATCCTCAATGGTGTGCAGCACTACAATGGGAGAGGATGGAGAATATTAAATTTTTTTAATAAATACAGATACTATAACAGATAGTTCCAAAAAACTCCTCTGCCATATAGTTTCATTGGAACCATTGTATGAATAACTACCCCTAATTTTCCAGAAGGGCTCGGAGACAAAGGCTTCGATTTCCTTATAGCGCTCTGCTACGAAGCCCAGTGTGGGTATTTGGCAGCTGCCATACGAAATGAGCTTGTCTGCAATATTGGCAGGGAATAGACGCTGTAGTCGCATTGTTTGGAAACGTGTAATGGCTGCGCCAGTTCGCAAATCAAGCTCGGAGCGCACATCCACCGCATCGCTCTGTCGTTTGTCCGGCAGCCCTAGTTGCTGCAAAGCGCGACGGACTGCAACTGAGGTAATCTCTGAGAAAGTGGCACGGTGAACGGTCAAATTGGGTTTGATGGCGCGACATACTTCAATGATTTCATAGCCTATGTTTTCGCCCTCGCGATCGCAATCCGTCCAGATTATCAACCCTTGACAACTACGCACCTCGCGCTCCAACGTTCGTTTAATAGGTAGAAAGTTTTCGCTGACGGTCTTACGTATGGGTGCATCGAAAAGTGAGCGTGGATCGACATTTCGC